AGAGAGAGAGAGAGAGAGAGAGAGAGAGAGAGAGAGAGAGAGAGAGACTCACAGTACACTGGCCTGGTAGAGCTTTGTAAACCATAGGCACTGATGTAAGCAGACCTTATTCTTGATTATTCTTGATTAAGTCATGGTTTTCAAGCTTTTATTTAGCAATGGATTTATTTTTTTTCTGCACAAGATCTTCTGGTTATATATACATTATTTATATTGTATATTATATGTGATTAAGAAAAAATATATAAAATAGGTAAAACCAGTATGGACCTGATGGAAGAAAGGGTGGGGGTCAGAGCCCTGTCAACTTTGCTTCCCTTAGTCTTCTCAGATCCTTTATATAACTTCAGGATTTCAGGGGACACAGCATGGAAGCCACTACTCTAGATGATGGGTATGTATAAAAAACGTTGTGTGTAAGTGGGGTCTTTGCCTAAGGGGGCCCTCTGTGCATTGGCAGTGTATTTGGCTGCAAACTATAAACAGACTGCATGAAGACATACTTTAGGGAGACGGTGAACCTGCATTTCTAATCAGGGGGTATAGTTGGAGCCCCTGAGAAGCAGAGGGGTAGATGGGCCAGCCTATTTATGATCGGCAGGCTGCTGGGAACGGCCTGCGGTGAAGCTCATTGTGAAAGTGGGTGAGTGTGTCACTGAAACACAAGGAAGCCAAGCTGAATGCTGCCTGAGGCATTAAGCTAGCAGTAGCTCCCGCAAACCCTCAGGATGAAGCTGGGTTATACGTGGCATGGAAAGACTTCAGGGCACCACCAGTGCCCTCAAGTTCATTTTCTGACACTGAGTCTAACAATTCGCCCTTTTGCCCCTGCCTCTGGCTCTGTCTCCTTCCAATGGCCCCACTCTACACCTGTCCTATAGGCAGGCAGTGGCATCCTCAGCTCCTGGTCTGCTGGGGCCGTCGGGTCAGCTGGCCCCTCGCCCTTGCTTGGACATTCTGTTTGTATGCTGAAATCAGGATTGTCCTGAGGGCAGGCTGCGGGAGAAGATTCACAGAGAAGCGGCGGAATTCCATAGGTGGAGGTTGAAGAAAGTGGTTCTAGGTGGAGACTAGAGAGCAAAGAGGTTTTTAATTTTTTAATCCAACGATTAGATTTCTGAATTAAAACGACCTGATATGCTTTGGATGTTTGTCCCCTCGAAATCTCATGTTGAAATGTGGTCCCCAGTGTTAAAGGTGGGGTGTGGGAGAGGTGTTGGATCGTAGGGTGGACTCCTTATAAATGATTTAGCATCATCCCCTTGATTGAGTGTGGTCTCAATTACTTCACACCAGATCTGACTGTTTAAGAGTCTGGGACCTCCTCCCCGGCTCTCTTGCTTCCTCTCAAGCCATGTGACACGCCTGCCTCCATTCTGCCTCCCACCACAATTGGAAGCTTCCTGAGGCCTTCACCAGAGGCAGATGCTGGCACCATGTTTCCAATACAGCCTGCAGAATCATGAGCAATTAAACCGCTTTTCTTACCCAGCCTCAGATATTCTTTTATAGTCATGCAAATGGACTCCTACAGCACTGAAGGAGACTTTGGGGCTCATTTGATTGTTGCTGCTTACTCTAGGGAAATCTTCGAACACCTCAGGTTGTCAGTGGACACATCTGTAAAATGGGCTACTGGAAACGTGCTCACATTTAGAAGCTGCTATTTCAAACCCACGCATTTGCCCCGAGCCATCCGCTTTCTAGATGGCTTATCTCTTAGCAACTCATAGATGACTTTTTCAGTTGCTTGGTTGGAGGAGCGGTTAAGACTGTGTTTTGAGAATAGACTTTTTCCCTGTGGGAAACCGAAAGGTTTGTGGTATAATGATCCCTGGCCTGGGGCCTCCTTTGCACAGTTAATTAATTCCAATGACAAATATTTACTGTGCATCGAGCATAGCAGGTAGTGCCCTGACTGATTGAGATGATCTGATATGGTAATGCAGGGTGGTTTTCAGAAATTAATGATTTGAAATGTAGTTAGCAACGTAAGGTTCTGGAGGGGCAATGTCAGGCATTCTTCTTGTGTTCAAACCATCCCAGACTGTGAAGGAACTGGCCCGTGATGTCTGCCTCAGCTGCTTTGCCCCTGCTCCATAGCTCGGGGAAGGGGAAGCTTTTGGCCCTCTGCCAGTGTTTGTAATCCTCACAGCAGGCTCCCAGGTCTTCTGGGTGGGCCTGCATCTTTTGTTACATATTTGTCCCCGAATCCAGACCACTTCTGAGCTCTCTGGGGAGAATGTGCCCAGGAGCTGTTCAGTAGGGTGGGCAGGCTGGTGGAAGTCCTCAGGCCTAATTTGTTCCGCTTCCCTTCAGCCCTTCGGCCCCAATTCATTTGTTTGTGTTTCGGGGGAAAAATCTCTCATTATTGTCTATCCTTTATTTCCTGGAATTGGACATGAAAGTTGTCATTGTTTTAGTTTGTGGCCTCCAAAGAAATAAACCATTTGAGCAACAACTGCAACAATGGCAACATTTGTCGTGGCATGGACTTCAGACAATTTGACTTTGGAGTCTGGGTGTCCATTTTGTTAGAATTGAATGTGCACAGAGTTTGGGGTGGTATGAGGGAGGCTGTATTTATTTTTGAATGTCTTTCGCCCGTAATGAAAACCAGCTGCCTCTCCAACAAGTGCATTACTCTTCCCACAGAAAGCCTCATGGACAAACTGAAGCTACCGGGGTTGCATGTGTTTGGATGTTTCTCATTTAATCTAGTGAGCTTCACCCTTTATCTCTCAGTCCTTCAGTCCTTGCTCATGGGTTGATGGACACTTCCTCTTCTTCTGTCCTTGTGGAAGCTAGAGGCGCTTTTGGTTTGTGGAGGAGAAATGTGGGACTTCTCCCCTCTTATTCGTGGGGGTGGACATGGAGGGGACCTCCACACCCCGGGAAAGGTGGCCCCATTCAGCTTGAGTCTGGAGCGAGACCAAACTTTCCTGCCTGCTGCATACAACTTCAACTCCAGGTCCAAGCTGGGCCCATGATTTTGGCTGTGGGGAGAACATTCCTTGGTATGTGCTGATGCATTAGGGTATGTCCAGCTGCCTTTTCTCTGGAGGAGTGGGACGGTTAAAATCCTTCCCTAAGTGTATGGGTGGACAAATAGGAGGCCTGGGGTTTAGAAAACACAGCCGAGTGGAGAGAGGGCCGGCAGACAGTGCTGCGCTGGCCACCTCTGTGGGTTTGGCCGCAGGAGAATGCAAAAGAATGATTTACTAGGTGCTCCCTCACCTCTCGTGGATGGTGCCGGGAGATGATGGAATGCACTTTTCTTCTGTAACAGAATGCTTTTGGCAGAGACATTTCCCAGTTATTAAAAAACGGGGCAATGAGGTGAGCTATAAATGCAAACCTCCGTATAGGAAAATCTAGAAGAAATGAGTAAGGACAAGGCGATGGAGAGGAGACTGCGGGGAGAAAGAAAAGTTTAAAAATAGGCAAAGAGAAGAACAACGAAGCCGTGTTGACACTGAATGGGAGAGAGTGAGAGCTCTGAAAAGGCAAGAAAAACATCAGCAATGGAGTCAAGGAAAGCTCAGGGGTGACTTTGCTCCTTCCCTGAAATGTAGAAGCAGAGAGAAGCCTGGGGAGGGGTTGACCAGGCAGGTCGAATTTGTAGGTCAGTGGAAGAAACAGAATGAGAAAAAGGAGCTTAGGGATGCTGAGGTCATTGGACACCCTTGAAGCTGTGGGTAATGTGCATTGCAGAAAGTTTTGGGCGAATTTCCGCAGAACCAATTCCGAGAACATGATACGGTGTGTCTTGACTCTTTATGGGGAGACGTGCCCTGTAGGACCAGAGAAATGCGCACAGCTGAGCCTTTACAGCGATATCCAGTTTCCATGGAGTTCTCTTTCTTTCCTGGTTCCCATAACGCTTGCCTGTGTTCAAATATATTTACCCCTTGATATTCTATTCGGCATAGTGAATTATTTCTATTATTCGCTCAGTTCTTTTTAGTGCATTTTCTCATTCCTTACAAGTCTGAGATTTTTAGGGACAAGGAGCGTGTCATGTATTTCTTTCGTGTTATTCACAGTCTTGCAGTGTGGTAAGGAAAGGGTAGGTGTAAAGATTGTGAAATTAAATTGGGCCTAAAGCTGCCTCCCACATAGTTCAGGTTTGGTCTGAAGGTTTCTGCATACCCAGCGAACTGCCGCCTAACGGGATGTGTAAACAGACTGTAACCTTCTAGTAAAAAGTCACTGAGTCTCAGCCAGTCACAGACAGCAACTTTGCAAACTGTGCTCAAATAGGACAAACGCTGAGCTGTAACCAATCTGGCTGTTTCTGCACCTCACTTCCATTTTCTGTACATCACCTGCTGTTTCCTGTCTGTAGATGGTATCCGACCCTGTGGCAACCCTGGGTTTGCTCTGAACCTGTTCTGGTTCTGGGGGCTGCTAGATTTGTGAATTGTTCTTAGCTTAATTGAACTCTTACATTTGACTTGTCTGAGGTTTTTTTTTAAGCAATGGACGGTGAGGCAAATGAGGACTCTGTAGGAGAAAACCAGTCAGCCAGTCTACCCCCTCCCACCCCTACTTCCTTCCCATATTTATTGAACACATATTGTATGCCAGGCACTGTTCTAGGCCCTGGGCACAAGCAGTCAACAGACAGATGTGGCAAAGCTTCTGTGTAAGTGGGAGAGAAAGGAAGGACAGCAGAAGGAACATGCACACAAACGCTCCGTGCAGGGGTTAGTGCTACCAGGGTGAGGAGCGAAGAGATGGCCAAGGGGCTGCAGGAGAGGCTGTGTGACTGCAGTTTACACTAGGTACAGGGAATGTCCTTTTTCTTTTCAACATAAATGATGCTTGCTTGGAGACCTGAATTAAACGGGAGGCTCTTTGGTGGAGGAGCCATGCCCACGGGAGCAGTGAGGTGCTGAGGGTAAATGTGCTCGTGTGCTCAGAGGACAGGGAGGAGGCTGTGGGCTGGAGCAGAGTCCGGAGGGGTGGGTGAGATCAGAGAGCGAACAGGGGCTGGACAACTCCAGTTCTTGTAGCCACAGAAAGTGAGGATATAGGATCCTATTCTGGGAGAGGTAAAAGCTTCTGGGTGGAGGATGGCACTGAGATCACTGGGGCTGAAACAGTTGAGAGGCAGGAATGGGCTGTGGCTTGGGCCAGGTGGGAGTGGCTGAAATGAAACAAGTGGTTGGATTCTGAATCTTTTTGGAAGATGGAGCTGACAACATTCACCCATCTGAAGAATGAAAGGAAGGAAATTGAGGATGACTCAGGGTTTTTGGTCTTGTCAGAAGATGCGTTTAGCTTGAGCTTTGGACAAGTTGTTGAGCAAAGGAAGCACTGGAGTGAGCCTACACCTCGATTTCCTCAGTGACTTGCTGAAACGGTGTGTACATGCATGGTTGTGGCCAAACTACGTCTCAGGTCAGACGAGGATGCCGAGGTAAGTGCCTCGGAAGAGTTATTCACCACACAAACATGTCTAGAGTATTCATTATAGCAGGGCTCTAGATGGTAGTTTAGGTTGTTTTGCCTCTTTTATCCAGATAGAGTCCGCTATTGTATTGGGACCAGAACTCATTCTGAGTAAAAAATAAAAAATGTCTAATCTAATTCCACTTCGTTGTTACTGCAGGGTGGTCAGGGCACTTTATTTTATTTTGAGTTGTAGGGTACATGTGCAGGATGAACAAGTCTGCTACATAAATAAACGTGTGCCGTGGTGGTTTGCTGCACCTATCAACCCGACACCTCAGTATGAAGTCCTGCATGCATTAGCTGTTTTTTCTGAGGTTCTCCCTCCCCTGTCCCCCTGCCATCCCCCTAATAGGCCCCAGAGTGTGTTGTTCCCCTCCCTGTGTCCATGTGTTCTCATTCTTCAGTTCCTACTTATGAGTGAGAACGTGTGGTGTTTGGTTTCCTGCTCCTGCATTAGTTTGCTGAGGATAATGGTTTCCAGCTCCACCCATATCCCTGCAAAGGACATGATCTCATTTGTTTTTACAACTGCATGGTATTCCGTGTTGTATACGTGCCACATTTTCTTCATCCAGTCTATCATTGATGGGCATTTGAGTTGATTCCATGTCTTTGCTATTGTAAATAGTACTGCAGTGAACATATGCGTGCATGTATCTTTATAACAGAATAATTTGTATTCCTTTGGGTATATACCCAGTAATGAGATTGCTGGGTCAGATGGTATTTCTGGTTCTAGGTTTTTGAGGAACTGCCACACTGTCTTCCACAATGGTTGAACTAATTTACATTCCCACCAACAATATAAAAGCTTTCCTGTCTCTCCGCAGCCTCCCCAGCATCTGTTATTTCTTGACTTATTAATAATTGCCTTTCTGACTAGTGTGAGATGGTATCTCACTGTGGTTTTTATTTGCATTTCTCTAATGATCAGTGATGTTAAGACTTTTTTCATATGTTTGTTGGTCACATAAATGCCTTCTTTTGAGAAGTGCCCATTCATGCCCATGTCCTTTCCCCACTCTTTAATGAGTTTTTTTTTCTTGTAAATTTGTTTGAGCTCCTTGTAGCCTCTGGGTATTAGACCTTTGTCAGATAGATAGGTTGCAAACATTTTCTCCCATTCTGTATGTTGTCTATTTGCTCTGAAGATAGTTTCCTTTGCTGTGTAGAAAGAAGCTCTTTAGTTAAATTAGATCCCATTTGTCAATTTTGGCTTTTGTTGCAACTGCTTTTGACATTGTTAGATGACATTGTTCATCTTTGCCTGTGCCTGTGTCCTGAATAATAGTGCCTAGATTTTCTTCTAGAGCTTTTTTTTTTTTTTTTTAAATAGTTTTGTGTTTAATGTTTAAGTCTTCAATCCATCTTGAGTCAGTTTTTGTAAAAGGTATAATGAAGGGGTCCAGTTTCAATATTCTGCATATGACTAGCCAGTTCTCCCAGCATCATTTATTAAACAGGGAATCCTTTCTCCATTGCTTGTTTTTGTCAGGCTTGTTGAAGGTCAGATGGTTGTAGATGTGTGGCATTATTTCTGAGTTCTCAATACCGTTCCATTGTCTATGTGTCTGTTTTTGTACTAGTAGCATGCTGTTTTGGTTACTGTAGCCTTATAGTGTAGTTTGAAGTTGAGTAGCATGATGCCTCCAGCTTTGTTCTTTTTTGGTTCCATATGAATTTTAAAATAGTCTTTTTTCTAATTCTGTGAAAAATATCAATGGTAGTTTGATAGGAATGGCATTGATCTATAAATTACTTTGGGCAATATGGCCATTTTCATGATATTGATTCTTCCTATCCATGAGCATGGAATGTTTTTCCTTTTGTTTGTGTGCTCTGTTATTTCCTTGAGCAGTGGTTTGTAGTTCTTCTTGGAGAGGTCCCTCACTTTCCTTGTTAGCTGTGTTCCAGTATTTTATTCCCTTTGTGGCAATTGTGAATAAAAGCTCATTGATGATTTGGCTCTCTGCTTGTCTATTGTTGGTGTATAGGAAAGCTTGTGAGTTTTGCACATTGACTTTGTATCCTAAGACTTTGCTGAAATTGCTTATCAGGTTAAGAAGTTTCTAGGCTGACATGATGGGGATTTTCTAGATATAGAATCATGTACTTCATCTCTTCCTATGTGAATACACTTTATTTCTTACTCTTGCTTGATTGCCTTGGCCAGAACTTCCAATAGTACATTGAATAGGAATGGTGGGAGAGGACATCCTTGTCTTGTGCTGATTTTCAAGGGGGAATGATTCTAACTTTTGCCATTTAGTATAATATTGGTGTAGATTTGTCATAAATGGCTCTTATTATTTTGAGGTATACCTAGATGTACCTTCAATACCTAGTTTACTGAGAATTTTTAACATGAAGTGATGTTGAATTTTATCGAAGGCTTTTTGTGCATCTATTGAGATAATCATGTGGTTTTTAGTTCTGTTTATGTGATTGCTTTGCATATGTTGAACCAGCCTTGTATCCTGGGGATAAAGCTGACTTGATTGTGGTGGATAAGCTTTTTGATGTACTGCTGGATTTGGTTTGGCAATATTTTATTGAGGATTTTTGCATTGATGTTCATCAGGGATATTGGCCTGAAGTTTTCTTTTTTTTGTTGTATCTCTGCCAGGTTTTGGTATCAGGATGATGCTGGCATCATAAAGTGAGTTAGGGAGAAGTGCCTCCCTTTCAATTGTTTGGAATACTTTCATAGTAAATGGTATCATCCTCTCTTTGTACCTGTGGTAGAATTCAGCTGGGAATCTGCCTGGTCCTGGGCTTTTTATTTTTTTGGTTGGTGGGCTATTTATTACTGGCTCAATTTCAGAACTCATTATTGGTTTATTCAGGGATTTAATTTCTTCCTGATTCAGACTTGAGAGGGTGTAGTGTCCAAAAATTTATCCATTTCTTCTAGGTTTTCTGGTTTATGTGCATACAGGTGTTTGTAGCATTCTCTGATGGTGGTTGTATTTCTGTGGGATCAGTGGTGATATCCCTCCCCTTTATCATTTTTAATTGTCTGTATTTGATTATTCTCTCTTTTCCTCTTTATTAATCTAGCTAGTGGTCTATTTTATTAAATTTTCAAAAAAACAGCTCCTGGATTTGTTGATATTTTGAAGGGTTTTTGTGACTCTGTCTCCTTCACTTCCCAGTGCCTTTTAAATAGGTGCTATTTTTTAAAATGATTTTAGGTCACAGCAAAACTGAGGGGAAGATGCAGACTTCTCATATAGCCACTGTCCCCACACATGCACAGCCTTCCCCACTATCAGCAACCACCAGACTGGCACTTTTTTTTTTTAATAAAAAGAAATTGAGAAACCTACAATGACACGTCATTATCACCCAAAGTCAATAGTTTGCATTAGAATTCGCTCTTGGAGTCATGCAATCCATGGCTTTGGATAAATGTATAATGATGTGTACCCATCATTACAGTATCAAAAAGCAGGGCTTCATGGCCCTAAATATCCCCTGTGCTCTGCCTATTAATCCTTCCCTCCCATTAATCCCTTGCAAACACTTATCTTTTTACTGTATTTATAATTTTTCATTTTCCAGAATGTCATATATGGGAATCACATAGAATGTAGCCTTTGCAGATTAGCTGTTTCACTTAATACACTTAAGGTCCTTCATATCTTTTTGTGGCTTGATAGCTCATTTCCTTTTAGTGCTGAATAATATTGCATTGTCAGGATGTATCACAAAATTTTTATCCCTTTAACTACTGAAGGACATCTTGGATGCTTCCAAGTTTTGGCAATTCTGAATAAAGCTGCTGTAAACAGGTTTCTGAGTGGACATAAAGTATTTAACTCACTTGAGTAAATACCAAAGAGTATAACATACTTTTACCATATAACCCAGCAATTACATGGTGAAAGTATTCTTAGTTTTCTGCCAAACTGCCTTCCACAGTTTTGGTACTATTTTGCCTTCCCACCAGCAATGAATGAGATTTCCTGATGCTCCACATCCTTGCCAGCATTTGGTGTTGTCAGTGTTCTGGATTATTCACCATTTTAATAGGTGTTTAGTGGTATCTCATTATTTTAATTTGCAATTACCTAATTACATGACAATGAGCATCTTTCTATATATTTATCCGCCATCTGTATATGTTCTTTGGTGAGGTGTCTGTTTAGATCTTTTGCCTATCTTTTAATCAGATTGTTCATTTTCTTATTGCTGAGTTTTAAGAGTTCTTTATATATGTTGGACAACAGTCCTTTATCTGATATATCTTTTGCAAATCTTTTCTCCCAGTCTATGGCTTGTCTGCATTCTTTCTACAGAGTGTTTTGCAGAGCAGAAGCTTTTAATTTTGATGAAGTCCAGCTCATCAATTCTTTCTTTCGTGGATCATGACTTTGGTGTTGTAGTTAAAAAGTCATTGCCAAAACCGAGGTCATAGGATTTCTCCTATGTTACATCCTAAGTGTTTTATAGTTTTGCATTTTATTGATGCACTTTAAAAATGTCCTATGGCTTCTGAAGCTGGACCTATTTTCCTCCGTGTCCCCTCTTCCTGGCCTCTTCTTTAATACCCCGTCCCACCCAAGTAAAGAGTACAGATTGCATCTCAACTCCCAGCAGAGGTAAATTCCTATACAACAACAGATATAAAAGGAGAATATTTAACTCTGATTAAGTCTGCTGGGAGCTGCTGGGAGACCAAGGCCAACAGGCCAGTCCTTATTTTCTGGACTGTTTTCTTCAGATAAGCTTTTCTTATTACTGTGCCTGCCATCCATGCCCTGCCCACCCCTAACCTTACTCTTGGCTTGTCTCCCATTCTGTTTGAGTCAGGAATCACCTCAAACAGAGCTGACTTTTGAACTCTTTTGGTCAAGACTTCTTGTCCAATGTTGACAAAGTTCTGGAAATCACAGCTGTGAAGTTGACTCATGTACTATGTTTCAGTGTAAAGTTCTGAAGAAGCTGTGAGCTTCCATGAAAATCTCCATCCTCTCTGTACCTACACTAAGGTTATGGATTATGCCTGAGTGATCTCAGCATCATTTTGATCCAGTTTGCATCTAGGGACTGATTGCCAATTTCTTTCAAAATCCTGGGCTAACTGCATAAACCCAAGAAAATTTGGCTTTTATTTCCAGTCATCTTACTTTTTGGCTTTGCGTTTGCTATGTGCTGTGCTTAAAACTTTTTTTCAGGATTCCAAAGGTTTAACTTTGGCTCATGTGAGTAAATGGCCTGTTTATGTGCTGTGGTGCTGAAAAACCAGAAACCCAGTAATGCAGCAATGAATAACTCCTAAAGAACAGAATATTCATCCTCCTGAGGCCAGGTTCAACATAACTACTGTATCTCTTAACACAAATGTGACTATGGTAGAAGCTGGTGCATGCTTAGCTGAAAGGATGGAGTTGAAGAAGAGTTACGGTATCAGCCTGGATGGGGGAGTGGTGAAGGCAGTGCTTTGGGGCATTAAAAAATTTAACTGGGGCTGGGTGCAGTGGCTCATGCCTGCAAGCCCAGCACTTTGGGAGACCAAGGAAGGCAGATGACACTAAGACAGGAGTTTGAGACCAGCCTGGCCAACATGGCAAAACCCCATCTCTACTAAAAATACAAAAATTAGTTGGGCATGGTGTTGCACATCTGTAATTCCACCTACTTGGGAGGCTGAGGCATGAGAATTGCTTGAACCTGGGATGTGGAGGTTAGAGTAAGCCAAGATTGTGCCACTGCACTCCAGCCTGGGCAACAGAGCAAGACTCTGCCTCAAAAAGAAAAAAAAGTAATTGGGTTGCCATTAAGCTGGGATGGCACCAGTGCCTTGGGTTCATATGTAAGCAGACTGAAGTCCAATGCAAACAATAAAATAAGACATAAGCTTTATCACCCAGAAACCATCAGCTAAACTCAACTGGAAGGCTTTCCATTGGATGGTAAGATAAACACCTGGCTTTAGCTAATCAACTCATCAAGGATTTTGTTTTTGCATTCAGCCTGTAAAAGCCTCTGCTCACATGCTAGGGTAGAACTTGCAGAACCTCTTCCAGTTCTGAGTGCTGCCTGATTCATAAATTGTTTTTTGCTCAGGGAAACTGCTGAGTTTAATTTATCTGAAGTTTTTCTTTTTAAGGGTGAAGAAACGGCTCCTTCCAGCAAGCTGTAAAAGGAAAGGACTACTAACAAAATTCTCAAGCATTGTTAAAAAGGAGTATTAAAATATAAAGTGCATGTGATTAATTGGTATGTAGGTAGACAAGAATGTATTAGAAGAGAGAAGGCTATAGCGTGATGGAGGTTGCTCAACAATAGCATTGAGGCAAGTAAAAGAATCATCCCTGGGGAATGGGGGAGGAGGGGAGGCTGGTGAGGGAGGGATGTGTCAGGTCTTTCAGACTTGACTCTGGGGTCAGCTGCAGACTCAATTCATCATCATCACCAGGGAGCTTAAGAATTTAGCTCAAAGAGTCTGATTTTCTGGGTTGGGTTAGAATCTAAGAATCTGTTTTAAAATGAATCCCCTGCCCTAACTCCCAGGTGAGGCTGATTAACATCCAGATTTATGAAGTCATTGGCTGGGGGTCTGTGACCTACAGCCCCTAGGCCAAATTTAGCCTGGGGCTCGGTTTTTATTTTATTTTTTAACTTTATAAACTTTTCTTTGTCTTTATGTGTACCCTTTATTTCAAATATTTCTTAAAACACCATAGTTATTCCTTAGGACAAGAGTGAAGATCACCCCCTGTAGAAACTCAATAACTATGTACAGAGCTTTGCAGAACAGAGACAATCACTAAAGGCTGGCTGCTGGCCAAGGAATGGTGTTCTGAGTGGATTCAAGGAACAAAAAGAAACCAGATTGGGACCAAGCGCTCAGCACTCAGCTGAATCAAGCTTCAGCTTCCATCAGGGCATATCTTATGATGCTCACATGCTCTGTTTCTTGAAGGTTTGGGTTCAGCACAAGATTCTATTTGTCTACTTGGCTACACCCCCAGCTGAAGTGCCAAGAGGTCACTGTCACTCATTTTCTTGGCCAGCCAAACTCCTGCAGCAAAGAGTCCCAAGTTGAGGATTAAATGTCTCTGGAAATCATTCCTATCAGTGGTAAAGCCATAGCTGCCATGAAGCCAATCTCTCACATTGTTCAGAATTTTGGGTGCTGCATTTGCTGAGCCAGTAGGGCTCACAGTGACCACTGGAAGCCATAGTAGTACTTTTGGGATCTGCCAACTTTTAAAAAAATAGATACATAATATTTGTACAAATGTATTGGGTACATGTGATATTTTGATACAGGCATAGAATGTGTAATGATCAAATCAGGGTATTTAAGGCATCCATCACTTCAAACATTTATCATTTCCTTGTTTTGGGAACACTTCAAATCCTTTCTTCTAGCATTTTGAAATATACAATATGTTGTTGCTAACTGTACTCACCCTTTTGTGCTATTGAAAACTAGAACTTATTCCCTCTTTTTATTTGAGACAGGGTCTCACCCAGTTACTCAATCTGAGTGCAGTGGTACAATCATAGCTCACTGCAACCTCAAACTGAATTCCTGGGTTCAAGGATTCTCCCACCTTAGCCTCCCAAGTAGACAGGATTGCAGGCATGTGCCGCCATTCCCAGCTATTTTTTAAAAAAATTTTCTGTCTTAGAGATAAGCTCTCCCTATGTTGCCCAGACTGGTCTTGATCTCCTGGGCTCAAGGGGACTGCTTCAGTCCCCTAAAGTGCTAGAGTTAGAGGTGTGAGCCACCGCTCCTGGCCAGAACTTATTTCTTCTCTCTAACTGTTTGTTTTTGTCCATTAGCTGTCCTGTCTTTACCCCTGCAAGTAGCTTGTAGCTAAGAATGTGTTTTACATTTTTAAAGTATTGTAAACAAACAAAAAGCAAAGAAGAACACATGACAAAAATGTAAGTGGCCTGCAGAGCCTAACATATTTATGATACTACCTGGCCCTTTGCAGAAAATGTTTGACTATCCCTGGCTCAGGTAGGGAAAATATAATATAAATAAATAAATAAGATTTCTTAACCGGTGAAGAGGTAATGAGGTCTGCAAAATTTCTACCATCGGTCATTCTTCACACAGGCAAGGGAACCTTTGCTTTGAGTGTGGTTCTCATTGGAATGTCATTGTCACTCACTGCCACTCTTTAAACAATGTCACTCTTTAAATCTCATTGTCACTCTTCAAACAATGTATTGTGCCTCAGGTACTGCAAGGTACTGTTATGCTCGTATGGACACATAAAGGCTGTGGCTAAGGTAAAGATCAAACAGGCTGCTTACTGAAAGGGGTAGTTAAAATTATTTCAACTCCTCTTTTGTTTAGCTAGGGAGGGAGAAAGCAGATTAGGCCTTCGAAGTTCAGGAGAAAAAAATACCACTTATGTAAACATAAGGCACGTAAGCAGGCACTTGCTGCCCTGAGACTAGGGTATAACTATACTTCTTGAGATATGGCTTGGCAAATGCTTTCTTACCTTTTGGCGTACAGACCTGGACAACAAGGAGATGGGGAGGGATCTGTTTATGAAAGATCCGATCTCAGAACTCTCTTGAAAAGGAAGGGCCCATCTGCCACTAGACTGGTTGCTCAGACTCAAGATAATGGCTGAGGTTGTGGGCAAGGGCTGGTGTTTGTGTCCTGTGTGTCCCTACACCCAGCTGTTCTGCTGAGGAATTGTCATTTGGGAAGCAATGGTTCAGGGTGGACTGTGACAGAAGATCTGTGACATTGGTGCCCATGTAGTATCCCCCAGCTGATGCCCACTCAGAAATCTATCTTGGCCGAAGGGGCAAATGCTGAGTGCAGGGTGTGTCATCAGAGCAGCACGCTGTGAAACTGGTGAGCCATTTGGTCAAGGGCAGGTTGACTTCGGGTTGAGTAAACCCTGGAGTTCCCGGAAAACACATTGACACAATAACCTTAAGAAAGTGACACTAGGCTTTTTCTGCTAGAATGTCACGGGCTTGAATAATTTACTATAAAACCCAAAGCAGTATTTTAACCCTGAGTTTCCATAGCTTGGCCACACATACTCATTCATTCATTCCTGTACAGTTACACAGATGGGGATTTAGAGAAGTGAAGAAGGTTGGCCAAGTCACACACTGGGTAGGAATCTAAACCTAGTCTTGTGTGTTTCCAAAGCGGGTTCTCTGTCCACAGTACCCTACTGCCTCTTGCAGAGTCACAGATTATTAGGGAAGTCTTACAAATTACTCACCATTTTTGAATGAGAAACTGAGACTCAGAGAAGTGAAACAACTTGTTCAAGGTTGTTTAATTACTAGAATTCCTACAGACCTGCTTCCAGATTCAGGGGGTCTGGTTTGCCATAAGCTTCTAAGAACTTCTTATCAGAGGAACTGAGAATGTCAAATGGAGTGAGTTGAAATCCATAGGGACAAAGAAGCATTGAAGGAAAAATGAGATTTGCAAAGTGAGGCACATTTCGCTTTTTCTAATGACCTGTTTGTTGATGTCCTCTTTGTAATGCTTCCAGGAGGCAGGAAGGCATAAGCAGACTTTGGCAATTTGATCTCAGAGATTACCTATTTATTTATTTAGTGTTTTAGACATTAACTTGGCTAATATAAAGCAATTCTCCTAAAGTCTGGAGTTCATGGACATAGGCCAGGTATAGGGAAAGCCGTCCTTTCCATTCAACTCATGACCCCAAAAGAGCTTGAGTCTAGGTTGATCCCCAGCCATTGGGTACATCTGTAACCTGGCCACCCTGATTTCTCAAATAGTTCAGCTACAAATGGTGATGGAAGAGATACCCAAGAAGGGACTTGAAATAAATGGAAATCTTTCGTTCCCTGTTTCAGTCTCTATCTGAGAAGCTGCCACTGCCCAAGGGAGGAGCCCAAAACCCAGTGTTCTCTGCAGATCAGAGTCAGTTTTCAAAGCACTGAAGGTGTAGCTCAGGCTTTCTTACACGTGGAGCTTCCTGGTATATGACATAGAGAACCCCTATGTAATTCAGTTTCAGAAGATGGTACAACACGTGCCTGGAGAAGCTGCCAAGTGTTCTTTGACAAAGCTTAAGGGCAGGATCTATAATCTCTCTGGGGTAATTTAGGTGAGGCCTTTCTTAGAGGTAGAGGATGAAATGGGTGCCCTCTTTCATCTCTTGGCTTTGCAAGTTCAGAGTTTTGCCTGCAAGAGCAAAGTAAAGGGCGACATGAACTGAATTAATATGGGCAGCCAGTGCACATGGGGGAAGTCAGGCTGGGATTATTTAGACAGTTGACCCTGTTTCTAGCTTCAGCTTCCCACCTTGTAGATGCAAATTTGGTTAAGATACGCAGACAGAGTGGACATTCTTTGCCTTTTACTCTTACTTGGCCTATCCCTGTAGTTAGAAAAGAGCAGCAGATTGAGTCTAGCTTATTCATCCATGAAGGGAGGGTTATTTCTTTGCAGGCTTATTAGTGAAATACTTAAAGGTTAGAGCCCTCAAGAATCCTTAAAGAATTTCTTGCTCAATGTCCATGTTTTCAAGGGAAGCAAATAAAGTTCAGAAAGCCTACATGAGGAACTCAGAGTCGACATGCCAGGGTAGGGGCAGAGCTGAGCTGAACCTCTGGTGTTTAGGTTCTCAGGCTGGTAGGTTTACAGCCTGCTGCACTGTGTCCTGTTGCCTCTGTAAAACAGGGACTTCTTGTTAAAATCCACTGTTCACAGCAAAAGGAGGGAGGACATTCATTTATTCACTTATTCAAAAAATTGTATTGAGCTGCCCTTGGGCGTCAGAAACAAGATTGATAAGGCCCTGCCGTCGCCCCATGGGGCTAACTGCACCAAATGTTTGCAAAGAACCTATGTGGACTTAGGTCTCTTGCTCTTCTGTCACTTTCTTAAGTTGGTGAGAAAAGGATGCATAGGAACAAAGTTTTTAGGGAGGTGGAGAGATAGAGAGGGTGGAAGAGAGAGAATGAGGTGTATCAGAAGGAGAGAGGGAGAGGATATATCCCAAAGAATATTTGCAGGGAGGGAAATATTTGGCTGTCCCTTCCCCCTCTCCTGTCCTGTGTCCCCTCCTCTCATTCCTCCTCCTCCTCATTCTTCTTCTTCATTTGTGGTTAGCTGGACTGTATCAAACTCCCTTAACTCTCTCGAATGCAGACTTTCCTACTTTCTGGTAAACTTGAGTTGCTATGGTGAGAGAGTGGCCTGGGACAAGTCAGTGGAAAACGTTAGAAACAACACCCAACCCAGAGCAACGTATCAAAGAGTTAATTAGAAGGACCTGCCATGTGTTTCCCATTCCCTGCCACAGGTTTGATTGCTTTATGATTTATCACCTGTTTTTCTAAGCAACATGTTAGCCCTCATTCTCAGTTCTCCTTTCTTGAAGGTGTTAAGAATGCTTGGGGGCAGAGAAAGTAGGGAAAGTTGACCAAATGAGTAAATCCCTGTTGTTCCCTTAGAAAGCTTTCTTAGACCAGTCCTGTGGCCCTGCTTTATCTGTTGTCCTCTCTCTCCCTGTTTCTACCACTCATCTCATGATATCCACTGAAGTACCTCTCTGTTAGGGGTTATTAGAACTCACTTGTGAAAGGGTGCTCTGAAGTTCACGGCAAATAATCCACTCTGTTTGCATGGGGTTTTAGAGTTACAGAGCACCTTCACATTTCATTTTGTCCCACCTTCAGCAACCTTGCACAGTAGCAATGGCTGTAGTTACCGTAAGTATCTCTTATTTGCAAGAACAGGAACGAAGGCCAAGGGAAAGGGGAAGGACTTGCCCACGGTCACTCGCACAGGAGTGAGCATAAGCCTGGGTCTTCTGAATTCAAGTCCATGATGCAGCAATGCTCTTTACAATCTTGCTGTGTTGTCAATGATTTGTGAACTTAGAGGCCATAGTGGGATGAGCATCTGACGGTGAATCAGAGGAGAAAAAAAACTGTGTCTCTCTGGTCTTGGTCTTCTCAACTGTAAAACGAAAGTCACAAAGGGAGTTTAATGTAAGTGCGATGATACAGGTAACAACACTGTGTTGTATACTTAAGTTTGCTAGGAAGATAGATCGTAAGTGCTCTCATCACACACATACAAAATAAAATGATAATGATGAACGGTGAGGAATTTGTTAATTAACTTGAGTGTGGTAATCATTTCCATAATGTATACATATATCAAAATATCAAGTTGTACATCATATATATATATATATTTAAGTATATAAATTTGAAGGTTGGTGCCCTCCAAAATTTATATGTTGGAACCCAGTGTGACAGTGTTAAGAGGTGGGACCCGGAAGTTATTAAGTCAGGAGGGCACTGTCCTCATGGATGGTATTAATGTCCTTATAAAGGGGGTTGAAGGATACTGTCTTGTCCCGTCCACCATGTGAGAATATAGCTAGAAGTTGCCACCCATGAGGCAGAGAAAAAGCCTTCACCAGACACTGAATCTGATGGTGCCTTGATTTTGAATTTCCCAGCCTCCAGAACTGGAAGCAATACATTTCTGTTGTTTATACATTACCCAATCTAAGGTATTTTGTTATAGCAGTCCCAACGGGCTAACATAATTCTATAACATTCAATATTTTATTTCATACACTAATGTGTTTATTTGAAAAGTTATCATTTATTCCTAGACATACATAATCAATCTTAACGTTGGTCTAGCTGTTAATAGTTATAAAAAAGAAGTGTCTGCTTAAGGCAGGGACAGCTGAACTTTAATGGGGTCACTCAAGATTCAGGTACTTGGTCAACTTTCAATCCAAAATTTTGACTTCAGTGGTTCACTCAGAGGTGTTCAAATAGGATAATGATAATAACAAGTCCAGATTTAACCAGACCAACAATAATAAAAATTGCTAGCATTTATTGGACACATAAAATGCAAAGCATTTTTCCTGGATCATTCTATTTTAGCCTCCCTTAACAATGAATGAGATCAGTACTGTTATTATCCCCTTGTCAGTGAGGAGCTGAGAGCAAGGAAGCTAAATGATTTGGTCAATGTCTTGCACCCAGTAAAGGCTAGACCTGGGCTGCCAACACCAGCAGCAATTATGTGGAAATGTTTCTTTTGCTAATTAAAAGCCAGACAACCGCTGTACTGATTGACAGTGGGTGAGGTTCTGGTTGGAGAGCTGAGTGAGGGCACTCATCTTTGTGAGACCTGCCTTCTTGCTTTGTCACTCCATTGAAGACACCAAGTGACAGGTAAGATTTTCCTTGGATGTCCTGGAATCTGACCAGAGGTTATTGGCTGTCTTCAAGTGATGTTTCAAATAGAAACAGACCTCTGGGCAGCGGTGGAGACGCCCTGAGAGCCTCGCGGCTTGGCTTTCAGTTTCCAGACTCCTGCGGACCCCCACCCTCTGTTATGACAACACAACATTAGCTCAGATTCATTGCAATTCAACTGAGTAGGTTCCCATAAACCACATTCCAATGTGTGTTCTTGGGGAGACACCCTGGGGTCATCCTGATTGGACCTAGGGGAGACCCTGGTGTCCTTAACTGAATTTGTAAGGCATCCTGTTCTCCTTGACAGAAAACGGGGAGAATCCTCGCTCCCATCAACAGCACATTTACAACCATTCCTGAGTGGTTTATTTCTGCAGATGGAGAATCTCAGTCATTTTATGTTCTTATTGTTTTCAATTTACTGACCAAATTCTGGGACTAGACCCAATTTGAGGTTTGTAAGCTCTTGTGTGTTATTACAGAGAGAAGTAGGGCACAATGAATGAATTTCTTGTTTTTCCCTCTGATTCAGACTCTGCTTTTTAAAGTGGGACAGCTAGTTGTCATATCTTTATGCATGTAGATGAAGGTATATATGCACATATACACATTTATTCAGGAATATACATATTTGGTCTAGCACACTTTATAGCTGGAGAAAACCTTAGCCTGACTCCCTGTTTTTATGTCTTGCTTGCTGTGATAGACTCATCTTCTGCCCTTTCCTTTTCTTTGTTTTTGACAGTTTTTCCACTTCAAGTATTTTCACAATAGGAATGATATAATGCAATTATTTATTAATTTATTTAACTTAACATTCCTTATATTGCAATACTGTGTGCCAGATGCTGCCCCAAGCACATTATAAATATTAATTGATGCAATCTTATTTATAATTTTTTGAAGTGGAACTTATTTCTACCCTCATTTTATAGATCAGGAAACTGAGGCAAGTTTCCGTATCTGCTGGGAAACTGGATTTGCATGGTGGAAAAGTGATGTGCAACCCTGCCGCTTTGTTTGAGAGGTCTGGGTTTTGTTTTCAATACACAAGAATGAGCTGTGGTATGATATCACTGTGGGTGATAGAAAAAGAACAGCCAATCCTCTGGAGCTGAAAAGCCAGAATCAGCAAAGACTGGATTTACTAAATGATGTACTGGTTTTACGGCTAAACACTTACAGCTATTAAAAACACTTTTATTATTAAAATTCCTGTGGGAAACATAACTTTGTTATTGTGATACTCAAACTCTTTAGCTTTTAACTTCCCCTCCCTTTGAAGCACTTGTGTGCGTAATGTGACTTTTAATAATCGTGGTTTCTTTGGAATGCAGATGTCACGTTGGAGCACTGCAGACCCCTCTTCTGAGCCTGCGGCCCTTCTGCCTTTACATACAAGGTGCCTGTTCCTGAGAATACTCGTTCCCACTTCTCTAGCAGGCAAGGATCTGGGCAGGACAACTGCCACAGGTAAGGGCTTTGCTGACACACCTGCCTTCGGCTCAGGTGATGAAGTCAGTCAAACCTGCATTCATTCAGGGAGTGGCTCATGAACACAGGCAACATGGCTGTGACTAGGGTGATGTTGGTAGGGGCTGAGAGGTGAGTAGATTGAAGCTATGTTTTGAATGCAGCATAGACAGGGTTGGTGATTGGTCTTGGGGGATGGGAAAGAGGGATCTGCCGTAGATTTGGAGTTGTCTGGATGTTTGACTCTAACCTCCTGGGATTTAGGGACATCTGATTTGTCAGTGCCTCCCACAGTGATTTGCACATAGTAACCAATTGATAAGTATGTATTGAACACGTGAATGAATCAGCAATGAATGAAGACAGTGAGAGCCAATGAAGTTCTGTGATGGCCCACAGTCACATAACTGTTGAATGGCAAAGGGAACCCTGGAATATAGGCTGCCTGAGAGTGATAAGAACTTTGGCTTTACGTTCTTTTTGTGGCCTCTCTTCCAGATTTTTAACTTGTCGAAGGCAGGACTGTGTAAAATAAACACAACCAGATCTGTTTTTTGGCAGTGGAAGACTGGATTAAAGATGGATGTCTGTGTACACAAGGGTGCCCATTTCTTAAGCATGAATGTGCTTTCCTTTTGGAATAAGGGAGAAGGTAGTCAAAGAAAGACTGGAAATTAACAGGTATCACAGGACTCCCAGGGTCTTCCACTGTGAAAAATGCCGACTTCACTTTTTCATTGTCTCTTATATCTGTGCTCTCTTCTCCATTCCATTCTACCAATAGCTACCTACCCCTTGCCTGGACCAGTGCAAAAGCCTCCCAACTTTTCACCTGTGCCTTGTTTGTATGTTATTGGCCTCATGAGGTGGAGTTATCTTAGCATTTTCGCTTATTAGCAGGGCAACTTTGGCAAAGGCTTTTTATTTTTTTTTTCCTGAGCCTGAGTTTACTCGTTTGTCAAAAGTAGATAATGACGAAACATGTCCTATTAATATTGTGAAAATTTGTCTGAAATGTCTGTGTGAACCAGGCCAGACCACAAAGCCTGGGCCAGGCTAGAGGACTGGAGAAGCCAACCAGGCAGACTTGGCTGTGGTGACTTCCTTTCTGCTTTTGCCTCTGCCTGCAATCAAGGCAAGGCGGCGGAAGACCCAAGTGGATGCATCTCCCCAGTGCAAGCCCAAATTCAGTGATTTTGGCAGGTTTCAGTGATGCAGCTGAGGACAAGGCTGACCTCAGGATGATGCTGCTATGCAGATTCTAAAGGGGTCTCTTCTATTAATGCCATTAGTACATGTAGTGCTGGCATCTATATCGTC